ACTATTATCATTGCCTTTAATTTCATGTTTACTGATCTAACTTTCTAACGATGCCTACTGTAGCTCAATGTTCAAGGGGCCACATCTCATATGACACCTATTTTATTGAAGTGCATCAACGTGGAAAGTTAGTTCTTGCTGGATAATTTCTTGCAAGCAGTGTGACCTGTTCGATTCAAGCAGTGTGACCTGTTCGATTTATATGCCCGGATCTGATCATGCACACCCGACTCGATTATTCAGCCCGACTAGCAGAGCGCACAAATGTTTACCCAACTTAAGGTCAGACAACTAGCTGGCACCACTGCTGCTGGGCTGCTACTGACATTGATATATAAACATACAACGCAATAATTTGCAACGGGTCAGAGATTTAGCACGGGTGAAAGGTTGCTGTCATCGTTGCTGCTTCTGTTTCTGTTGCTGTTGTCGCTATCATTTTTGTTGTTGTCATAGTTGCTATAGTTTTTTTGTTATTGTTTTAACTATTTTCGTTGTTATTGTACTTGCTACTATTTTGGTTTGTTGTTATTTTTGTCCCTGTCATATAAGTCGTGACTGGCATCTGTGGCGTCGCGCTTGTAGGCGCTTCGCTGTCGTACGCAGGAGATCTGAGTTCGATTAACGGGTGGGGAGAATTTTTATTGAATATCTCGGTCCTTCTGCTGAGATGTATTCCTTTCAACCTGGGCTGGCCCTGACAGGTATACATGGTTGAGGCCCACCTCCTAAATGATCTAAATCGTGTCGATTGGGGACGTTAAACGCCTAGATTAAAATATATTTCTATTAAAAGTTGAGTCGTGGTTTATTCTGAGGCACCAGGGGGGTGAGCACATTTCGCTAGGAACTCAGTGCAGTAATAGTCAAAGACGTAGAATGAGCGGACCACATCAGAACGCACGTTGTGAATGACATATAACTGTCGGTGAAACGTTGTCTTAAGAGTACACGTGTATAATATTATTTTGCAGACTGACGTTTGGTGTTGTAGGCTTAATTGCAATACCAAATGAGCGATGAAAACAAAGGAACTAATCAAAACATGACATACTTAATTATTAACTGAATAAATGCCTTTGTAATATAAAAATGAATATTATATATTCAAGAAAGTGGAGCGAAATAAAAAAAATTTCAGAAATCAAACCACTAGGAATAACAGTAGTATATATTTTAAAAAAACAACAAAAGAAACTGTCATAGAACATCAACAAAACAGCAAAATAGTAGCACAGCAAACAGACAACCTCACACAGTCTAAACTATTAAAGACAGCTAGCTCTACCCGTAGTCGAGGAGAAACGTGACTGTCTTTGACATGAGGAATTCTTACAGTGTCAATAAAATGTTTTTTTAAGGAACACCAAAACCTCCCCACCAAAAATGCCTCAAGAGAGGAATTAGGAATTGGTTGTTTGCACAGGTGATTGTCTTGTACAGGTGGCCGTTAAAACAGGTTCGACTATATCACTACAGGTATCAAAAGAATGTTAGGTTGTTGGTGTTGTTTTTTTAAAGTAAGTTTCCCGCCCTTTTCTCTGCCGAGTCCTGTATGGCGTGGCGAATAAAAACATAATAAAATGAGTGACGCTTGTCCCAGCTCTGGCACACAGCCACCAGCCAGTCCCCGCACGGTACCGCATTATCTATTCGGAGACGTCTCCGATGGAGATAGACCAATCAAAATGCCCCGTGCCTCTAAACCAAGTTAAAAATTCTGGGGGGTTACAAGGGCGCATGTTTCCCTGTTTTAACCCACAATTTGATATTCTGTAGTTAAGTTTGAAATGTTCTTGAAAATAATAGATTTGCGACAGTTTGAGTATCTATATGTGTGATCTGCAGCAAATAATAAGCAGTTTGACCCCCCAAAGCCGAGCATATATGTGCGGGAGTGCGTCTCCGAATAGTTTCTGGGTGCTCGCCGGAGACGTCTCCGATCTTCCGCCCACGGCCCACGGTATACATACGTTTTTGTTGCACGCAAGAAAAGGCGGCACACGGTGGATACGTAAACCGTGGCACAGAGTCAGATAAATATCCGCGGGCAGACCAGCCCCTTAAATCGGGCTGCCCCACGGCCAAGCGCATTATGTCGAGGGCTGGTATTTGAGGCGTTGCTGTCAGTGAACGGCCGAGGTTACAGATAAATCTACCGGTGATTACGATAAACTACTGGCGGGTTAGTGGCCAGAATTCATGCCTGAGCTCATGGCCAAATGGAGAGGATAAATAAATGGCCTTGTCTGACGCCTTGTTGGAGTTCGAAGACGTCTAAGGTGCGTACCATTCTCTTATATTTAGTTACTTTCTTCTCAACTCTTCGCGTACCAGCGTGAATGTCGTATGAGCTATTTGTTCTATTTTTGTTTCCGCCCACTTACCTATCCATCTTTCACATTTATATTCATTTGTTTACTATTCTGATGATTTTGGCGCTTCGTTGGCTCAGTTGGTACCATACCGGGTTATAGAACGGATTGCTCTTGATCTAATCCTAGACAGGTTGTTCTTGAACGGGTCGTTTTGTGGAGTTTTCAAGGCTCTCGTCTCATTTGGCTCGGTCTTGTCGGAGATGGGCGTCAAAATCGAAGGTCCTGCCTCGTAAATAACCTTATAATAGTATTGGTGGGGGCTTTAAGCCCATACACTTACTATTCTTTTCCTACTGATTGATTGCGATAATTGTAACCATTGTTAAAAAAATGGAGCCCCTTTCTACCTATTTCAGATACATGTACATGTATATTTCAAAGGCTTGCTGCTAATTAGACCCTGTCTGTCAGGGCTAATCCGGGCTGGTCAGGAAACAACACCCCCAACTAAAAGGCGGAGATACTCGATAAAACCGACTTCATAACTCAAGAAACGAACTTACGTCTTTTTTGGGTAACAGCGAATAACCCAAACGTAACAACGCCGGTTTATATCCTCCAGACGAAAGGTAAACATATAATGGACTAATGAAAGGCTGGCTGATTGTTTGATATATAATGGGGCGCAGAGGTGGAGAAGATCGCCCAGAACAGAGACATGTGGAGAGCCCTTCTTGGCGGTCTATTACCCAATACATGTACCAGGATGAAAGAGGCGAAATAATGATTGTTTGGGAGACAAATCTGCTTGTTTGTTTTTCCTCCGGTTGTTGTTTGGTATTTCTACTTTCTGATTAATCTTCCCAATGATTGATTATTGCGCTCACTGTTTAATTGTAAAACCGTAGAATCAGTTTAACTCTTTCCTTCCAAGACACCGATTCCGACTTTTTTTGCAGCTTTAGGCCATGGGCTGATAATTTGTCTCAAAACAAGATTAAACATTTATGCATGCAATCTCTGAATAGTCTCGTCGGTATATTTGGATTGGGTCCGGATTCCGACCGCCGATTCCCTTTTTCCAAAAATAAAATCCTTTCCGAAAGACTTTTACCAAAAGAAATACATGTGCATTGAAAGATTGGGCAAGAGTAATAATACTAACTGCATTTTTATAGCACATATCCACGCCCCACAGCATGCTCCATGCGCTTTACAACTATTACTGCCTCAGCAGACCTTAGAACGCCCAGAAACATTCTCGGCTTCCCTGGAAGAAAGCTGCGGATTTCATGCGCTCAAACAACTAACTAACTGACAAGATGTTTCACTATTTTAAAATCAATTTTCATCAGATTGAAAGGAGGAAACTTCATGTGCATTGCCTTTCCTATGTTCAACATTACCAACTTCTTTGGTCATTCTTGCCTTGCACGCAAGTGACGTAAGTTCATTTTCTCCTTGAGTAAAATTTTAACAAACTTGTTCTCCGTCTTTCTTCTGGGTTGGCGTTTACAGGCAGGGTCGGAGCAGACCATCTATCGATTTGTTTTAATTGTGACATGGGGATGGACAGTGTTAGTAATCAAATACATTCAACTTTGTCTCATCTAATCTCTGCAATTGTTTGTTCTTTTCTTATCATATTTCAGTTTTTATTAAGTTTTTCAGCCGCCCCCCCCCCCTTTCCCCCCACATTTTCTGACCAACGTATACAGTCGAACCTACTCTAACGACCACCTGTATAAGACAATCAGCTGTACATCCGGCCATCTCCTATTTCCTCTCTTACGCGTGTTGTTGTTGTTGTTGTTGTTATTGATGTTGTTTTTGTTTCATCACAATGCCACACTGAAAGACGTCCACCTGTCTACGACAATCACTTTTCTCCTCGACAATGGGGGGCAGTCTTAAACAGTTCCCACCATATTTTATTCTGTTCATTCGTCATTCGCTTGCATAACTCACCGGGGTTTTTTGTGTGTGGTTGCTACCTGAAAAATTGTCCTGTTTCTCTGTACTCAATAACCTTTCTCTTTGTCTAATCTTTGACAGCGTGGCAGCGAACAATGTTTGACAAGGTTGGTGGGTATTTTTGCGTACACTCTGAGCGGGTCTGTCGAGAGGCGGAGTCCCCACTCGTTTGTTCCCGGAAATTACGAGAGTGGAGATCTTTGATACAGCCGAGAACGAAGCACGGGAAAGGGGAACTTGGTTTATAATTGAGCGATTCGCACCGAGCAAAGGACTGGAAACAACAATTGTGGCATTGTGGTCAGATCCATTTCTTCATTGATCCTTTGATCCATTCATCTATTGTCACGGCTGGCTAGTGTTGTGTTTGGAACCGAAAGAGAACGTTTACTTTAGGGGAAGGCTGTTTCTTCCTCTCCTGTACTGGTTGTAATCTGAGTTGTAGAGGCTGTTGTTGATGTCGTAATTGATGTTGCTGTGCTGTTAGTATGTTGATATAAATAATACTATTGTCGTCATCATGGTCCTCTTCTTTTTAAAAAACCAGCTCCTATTCTTCGCCTTATGTATTGTTTTGAATTCCTTTTATCTTATTAACTTAAGAAAGGATAAGCAATATGGATCAAAAGCTTGAAAGACGAGATGGAGTGGGGTGGGGTTGGGGAGGGAGGTGGACGGGGGGAGGGGGGTGTGAAAAAAGCAGAAAAATAATAACAAGACCAATGAAAATATCTGGAAAATTATCTGCAGCAAGGAAGAAATAGAATATAAAGATGTGAAGTTTGTTGCTCTGATTTGTTTATATAGGCCTAATGAGAAGATATTATTATCAATTCGAACCTTGTGTGCGGTAAAGAAAGAAATGAAGGAAGAGATAGAGAGAAAGAGAGAGAGAGAGAGAGAGAGAGAGAGAAAGGGAGAGAAAGGAAGAGAGAGAGAGAGAGAGAGAGAGAGCGAGAGAAAGAGAGGGAGGGAGGGAGAGGGAGATACATATAGAGAGATGAGAGAATGTTAGTGAGAGAGAGAGAGAGAGAGAGAGAGACAGAGAGAGAGAGAGACAGAGAGAGACAAAGAGACAGAAAGACAGACAGACAAACAGACAGACAGACAGACAGACAGACAGACAGACA